CATTGATATCTGGAACAATGGTATACTGAGTGGCAGAATTCAATCTCCTAGAAAGAAATCAGAAGGTGTAATAAATTTAGCATAGTTTAGATCCGTGTGATCCAGGGTTGCTTCAAGTTCCTAAATGCAATGCCTATAAGCATACATATACTACCAACACTTTATTTGGTGTCCTTGTAAAAGAGTATGAGCTAATTACTTAAATAAATTGTTATGGAAGGTTGTTTCCCCCATTCTCTGTTCTTCAAAGGAGATATTCTTCAATTGGCCTTTTACAAATACCATCAATCCCCTTTTATTGAATCACTATAATTTTATTAAAATTATTTTAAAAAGTAAATCTTCACTTCAAGATACTAGCTTATGAACTATAAGGTCACATTGAGGTGGAAGGAGAGCAACAGCATGGGAAGAGGGAAAACGGAAACTGAACAGCTATGCAGCAGAGCAAGGCTTGTCCAAACAAACAAAATAATTGTTTTACCCATATGTTACCAAAAAAATGGCAGCAATAGATAAAGCGATTTCTCTTTCTTACTCTGTGTGAGGTGTAGTGTTATGTTAAATTTCATTCACTTATTTGATGGCATCAGTAGTACTGGATTAAGAGGTCTCTGTCGTCTTTGCGAGGATAGACGAGATCTTGTGCTTTCATCTTATTTTTTATTTAGAAGCTAGGCTACTTCCACACAGCCACTATTTAGTGACTAGTTCCTACAACACTTTCAAAATTTCACATCTGTGCAAAATTTTAGAAAGGTAAGCGCCATCTTATATTGTTGTATTTTAATGATCTCTTTTTAAATTTTATTTAAACATTTAAACAAGTACATTGAAGTTGGGCAGCCAATAAATTTTAATAATAATAATTTTAATAAATCAGATGCCAATGTTTGCATTGGTATAATGAGGATGTTAGATACTAGTGAGTCAGACTCAGACTGATTCAATTTCTGTGTGGACCAATATTTTTAATCTCAACCTGACCTGGGCAACAACCCACAGTTACTGCAGAGACATTCCAGTGATACTTTTGAACCCATCCATCTATCCCATCAATTGTTTTCATGTTCTTATACTTCCAAGATGTAAGATGAAAGTGTAAATTTGCTCACTTTTGTTCAAAATTATACACAGCTTGAAAGCATTTTATTTTCATGAAAACAAGGAAAATTTTTTCACTGTACCTTGATTAAAAGTTTGTATGCCAGGTACAAAATAAAATTGTTTAGGAGCCAAATCTGGAACGAGCTCCCCCCGGAGATACGGAGGATCCCGGATCTACGCACTTTCCGCCGTGCTTTGAAGACACTCCTATTCCAGCAGGCCAGCCTGGCCTAATTTTCTCCCCTTCTTTTAAATTTTTAAATTGAAATTTTAATTCGTTTTAAATTATTAGGAATTTTAATTGTCTCGGGCAAAAATTATTTAATTTGGTTTTAATTATGTTTTTTAACTTTTGTATTCATGTGTTTTATTTTGTGCCTGTTCACCGCCCTGAGTCCTTCGGGAGTAGGGCGGTATACAAATTTAATAAAATAAAATAAAATAAATAAATAAATCTAGTCATTACTACTGTAGTTGGACTTCTTAACCAGAAACTCTAGAAGGTATCTATATACTACTAAAACTCTTGATTCCTGTAATCTTTAACTGAGTGAAACAGTGCTGAATGCTCAGTGAAACTAAGCAAACCCTTTTGAACCTATGCACCTCAATGGGCTAATTTATAAAATGCCTCCAATATTCGGGACCCAGGACTCTTTTGGAATTGAAATTTGGCAAATTTTATAAAACAGTTTATGTCATAAACATTATCATAATAGTTTGACAAAATTGAAAATGTCATAAAATATTTCCTGCACTGAGTTTGACTCTGCTACATAGGCAGATATATATTTTCCAGTGAAGGCAGTACATTAAGACTTCTGTTATTGTTCAAAGCTTTGAGGAAACTGGTACGGAAGGAACTTCTCTGAAAGGATGACCCAAGGGGTAATGGGTTGTCTAGTAAGCAAATCACAGTATACACTAGGTAATTGCTGCTGTTACTCTGAAGGTTATAAAAGTCTACTTATAGTGTTCATTTATCCAGACTCACAGCACAATCTAGCCATGTGTCAGCTCCTCTAGGTAGACCAGTCCAAGCAATCAACTCCACAGGAACTTTAAAACTACTTTTATTGAGACAGAGCCATTTTGGTCCAGTGGTTAAGGCACCATGCTAGAAATCCTAGGTTCAGGTTCTGCCTTAGTCATGAAAGCTAACTGGGTGACTTTGGACCAGTCACACTGTCTCAGCCCAACCCACCTCACAGGGTTGTAGTTGGGGGACCGGGAGGGGGGAAGGAATAAGATGCATCAGATAGGTTAGCTGCCATATTTGTAAAAAAATAATAAAGGCAGGATATAAATAAACAACAGAATTCCACAAGTCTTATTGTGCTGTACTTTGCCCTCTTATAGTTCAGTGAATTAGGGAAGTTTCTTTACCCCTTATCACTTTGACAGTGGCGCTTGCATTTGCATATCTCTTCAAGTTCATCTTCATTACTATCTACATCAGGCCAGGAGCGATAATATATAACTGAATATCAGTGTACCGATGACACCAAACCCTATGGCATCCCATAAAACGGCACCACCCAGCTGGAACCACATATTGAGGAAGGAGCAGAACCACTCTAAAACATTGCTTTTGATCTGTAAACTTCCTGTAGGCAATGTAGAAAGTTACCATGGCCAATGATATCAAAGGCTGCTAACCAGGAGGGCTATTCTAACCCTAGCAACGATTACCAAGTAGAGCAACCCAGTCTTGGGCCTATGCCCAGGCCTGAAACTAGACTGAACATTGTCTAGATAATCTACTTCATAGGGTATTTTGTGGCTGAATCCCTACCAGATGCTCAACAACATTTTAGAGAAGGTTGGATTGATATTTACTAAACTCAACTAGATCCAAAGAGAGACTCTTAAGGGATGGGGATATACCACAGCCTATTTCAAGACTGAAGGCATAATCCCTTTCCAAAGTTCATAACCTTTCATATCTGGTACATATAGCATAAGAAATGCCAAATATTAATGCTTCAAAGGAGTTTCACAAAATATATTTCCATATAGTTATTTTAATATCAAATGTGTATTTTTCCTAAAAGCCTTAAAGTTGATTAACTATAATTTAATTAGTCTGGCTGTTCCTATAACTTGAGCTTAGTGCAAGGCAACAAGAAAAAAAATCTGACTGCTTGCTTTGCCTGCAATCCTGCTTTCTTACTTACTTAACTCTTAAAAATACATATATTTAAAAAAGCGTGCCTTACATATTAAAGTCTCTTGCTTTAGATCTTTTTTGAATTTTTTTAAAGAAACAATGTTTTTATACATGAATGAATTATTTCAACTTCAGAGAAGAAAGTAGATGTTCCTGATGCCTGGGAGTAATCTAATATGATTCCACCCCCCACCCCACCCCCAAGTGGGTAGCCTGCTAGGAGTCTCTACGACCTTCTGTGATAATGAAATCTCCAGATGGTGCCAGAACATCCGGTCCTGCCTGTTGTGGGGGCAGTGACGAAAGCTTTGTTTGTTTGCTAGGGTAGCAGAGAGGCTGGAGAAATCAAAGTAACAGTGTAAGTGATTCTATAAACAGATCAAGCAATATATTTCCTTTTTCTGACATTGCTTATGCTTCTTGTCTCTTAAACTATGGTTGCTGGATCCTCTGCCCTTGCTTATTCTGGGCATTTTGTATCCATTTAGAAACCTATGAAAAAGTATTACACATTAATCATTTTTAAATTGGATAATTAAGACAAACCTTTCACCTTAATTTATTACAATTAAGTCTAGTAATATTAACAAAGAACAGAAGCATTCAAATCTATCTCTAAAGTTAGAATAGAATAGATAGCAATGGAAAGTTTACATATAAATGGTGTGAACAAAGACTTTTCAGGGAAAGATCTATATTTATGTGAGGGAACACCATATTGCTGATAGCTTTCCAAAATGTTGTTAAGTATAGGACATGGCAAACGGTAGGCACATGGCAGAGAGTAAAGTGCAATGTCTACTTGGGCCATGCAGTGCTTCAGATTCAGTCTTCAAAAGGTACTTCAGCGTGTGCAGGAGGATAACATACCATCTGTCTGCAATATTTTGAAGCAACTCCCTTTCCCCCAAAATTCTGCAGCTGTGCAGCCTCAATATCCACTGTATTTAGGAAAAAAAGCATGAGGCATAAATGCCAGACTTGCAGAAGAAGCAGGAGGTGTGAGGAAGGCAATGTTATGCAGGTAACTAAAAGCAAAGTAGTGAAGGCCCCAGTAGCTGTTTCACATTTAGGATTTTTTTAGCCCATTGTCTAAATGTGCTGAAAGTTAAATCCTTAATCCACTCCTGTATTTATTCTTGCCTATTGATCCCTTGGGAGAACAGAAATTGGTACATTTTCTCCCATTCTTTCCTTGGGGGAATTTTCTATTCTCTAATTAATTTTACAAGCCAATTTTGTCAAATTATTTGATTTCAATCAGATTTAGTTGATTTCAGACTTCCATAAATAAAACTTATTATCAAAAACTTAGTATTCTATTACTATAAACATATAGAACTCCCAAGTGTCTTCATGCTATAATTACACCAAAGGACTGTTATAAATTTTTTTTTTTTGAAGGAAGAGGTACACTGATAGGATATAAAGCTCAGGTAAATTCTTTCCAAAATTGCTTTTCTATGTTTGGAAATTCTCCAATACCACATTTGATACAGTGGCTTGATGTGGCTTGATCAATACATTTTCCTATTCCACCTTTGTTTTCTTTGGATTTTTAACAGTTCTGGTAACAACTCCTTGGGAATTCAGAATTTTGCAATTATTTAGAGACTTTGGTTGTCTTAATAAAAGCGCTAGCTTGAAATAGATTTTTACTTTTTATATCACCATTAACAAAACTTTTTCAGTGATTAACAATATTCTTTTTTTATTTCTACAGCCCATCTCCAGAAGAAGGCATGGGAGATGAATTTGATCTGATGGATCACTCAGACTTGTACATCTTAGACTTCAGTATGTGAATATTTTCTCCTCTTTAACTACTTTACTTTGTTCAAACCTCTTGCTTTAAAAACATGTCTGAGGTAGAGCTGGGCCAGTGAAAACGCTATCTGTTGTAGATGTTTTAGTTTTTCCTTTATTGGATATCGTGTACTATATATTACTCTTTTTTCAGGTCCCAGCTTAAAAACGCTGTGTAAACTGGCAGTGATCCAGTACAATCTGGACCAGTCTTGCCTCCCTCATGATATAAGGTAAAATATCCTTATAGAGATATTTCAGTATCTCTGATCAAAGAGCCTTAACAGTGTAAGTAGCTGCCCTAGCATAGTATTGTGTGCTCACTGAGAGAAACTCTACAGATGTTCTGACAGATCCAATTTGAGACTTCAAAGGCACATACTCTGCAATTTATGCACTCTGCCCTCAGACATTTATGGAAGAGGGGAGCAACTGGTTTTCACTGTGACTTTATGACAAAAATTCCATAGCTTATACATTTTCTTCCAAGAATGGTTTGCATCTTGACACATCTTATCACTTTTTTGCCATCATGGTTTATAGCAGGTCTCTGTGCAGTGAGCATGGATGTTTTTAGTGTTATCATTTCTCCATTATTCAGAGATTGTTGGAAAACCTTGCCTGTTGCTCTACTGTACTATGCTTGTGCCTAAGACAGTTATGGCTTGTTGTCGGTAGCCATGGCTAGGGGAAGCTTTGTACAGATTCAGCCTGTGAGCCAATTGCATCTATTCCTGGATTGGGAGAACTTGCTCATGGTATTCACCCTGTAGTTCTAGCTAATGAGTTGCAACATGCTCTACAATGGGACTACCCTTAAAGACCATCCAGAAATTATAGCTTGTCCAGTTTTGAGTAGTACATGGTTTGCGCATGTAATGGTGCTGTAGGAGCTGTGCTGGCTTCCAGTTTTTTCCTAGGTACAATTCAAGGTACTGATTGTCTATAGCAGAGGTATCAAACTTGTTCACATCATGTGGCATATCGTGATGTATTGCAACATGTTTTGCCATTGCGGAGCAAGGGTGGGCATGGTCTGCATGTGACGCATCCGGCCCGCGGACTGCAAGTTGACACCCCTGATCTTTATGCTTCTAAAAATCTGATTCTTGTAATCTTTAACTGGGTGAAACAGTGCAAAATGTTTTGAACCAAGGTACCTCACTTGGGTTAGCTTACAAAATATGTGCAAAATCCAAGATTTATAACTCCTAAGGAATTGAAATTTGGTAAATTTTATAAAACATTTTATGACATAAACATAAAATGTTGTAAAACATTTCCTATGCTGATGTTTGACTGTGCTATACAGTTCAACATGAGCTATTTTCAAGGCAGATACATCTCTGAATGAATCCCAGCTTTTCCAGTGAAGGCAATATTCTAGAAGCTCTGTTATTGTTGAAGACATTGAAGAATCTGGGTAAGGAATTATCTCTGAAAAGATAATCCAATTGGACATAGGTTGTCTAATCACCCTTAAAATTCTGAATGGTATAGGACCAGGTTAATTGAGGGACCGTTTCTTCCTGAAGGTATCTGCCCATTCCACTAGGTTTGATAGAGTGGCCCACTCAGATCCCTTCCCTTAAATGTTGCCATTTAGTAGAACCTAGGTAGTGTGCTGAGTAATGGCCCTGCCCTTTGGAATACCCTTTCATCTGAAATCAGGCAGACCTCTACTTTTTTGATCTTCAAGTTCTGGCTTTTCCCACGAGCCTTTGGGTAGTATGAGATTGGAGCCCACTAAGTGTCTAGCTTTTTTCCCCCCTGAATACAGTATATGAGAATGTGTTGTGCTTGAAGGCATCAGGAGTAACTTTTTTATTTGGTTTTTATTGCTTTGCTATTGCACATGAGCACCCAGAGAAATGCTGCAGAAGATGGGGCGGGGAGGGCTCTATAAATCTTATATAAATGAAATAAAATAAATCTGATCTGTTGTCTTTTCAGATGGGAGCTTTCAGCAATGACAACGAATAGCAACATCAGCCGTCCAATTCTCTCTTCCCATGGATAATTTGGTGTCATGCTCCTGGCTGCCTTCAACTCCTTGCCTTGCAAATGTCACCTTCTGTCTTCCTCCCTGTGCATGAAAGTTCAGCTTATTCAAAAAAAAAAGGAGCACTACTTCAACACAAAGATCTCTTTACTGACCAATATTGGGAAGGGTTTTTTTGCCTATCCCACTGCCACACTAGTTGCAGCTATAACTTTGCCAAAACCTTGATTTAAAGGTAGCATGCACGCAGAATCAGATAATGCATACTACAAAAAAGAACACCAGATGTGTTTTTGCTCTCATAGCTGAAGGTTACATCTGACAGCTATCTACTGGTATAGTATCTTTTCATTTAATAGCGTCAAAAGAAATATAAATCTCAGGACTGTTACAAGACCAGCATATGTTTCATATGCGCTACAGAATCAAAGGTGAACAAAGCAAGGACTCATCAGAATTCAGCTTCTCTATGTCTCAGCAATTTTGAGTGCCTAGCTCTCAGTATTAATGTAAGAACTGAACTGGTTCCCTATCTTAAGCCATTTTCTTTGCTTCTCTGAGCACAGAAAAAAATTGCCTAGTCTTACACATTTTGGGGGTTGACCAGCTTGTTTTCTGCAATGGGCATCCGGACGATCTCCATATGATACTTAAGCACTTGCCACTTTTACAGTGGTAGAGATCAGAGTCTTCAGTGGAAGAAAGTAGGATGAGGACTATCTGGCCAAGCAAGGAGTGGCATCCAACATTCTGTAAGACTGAATCAATTTTTTTTTCTGCGTGTTATGGGAGTATTCATCACAAGATCTGAAATGCTATCACCCAGTTTAATATGTATAAGCAAAAACTCTGAATTTATAAATACCAGGGTGGGGGAAGAAAAACTGTGTCAGTACTTTATATGGCTAGAGGACAAGTGATGGACTAATACAGAGGGTATGAGGATTTAGGGTCTGCAGTCCACAAATTAAGACTCTAATTGAAAAAAAATGTATAAATTAGTGGCTAAAAGGAGGTGAGCTGGAGTGTTATCAGTTCAAATCTTGGTGTGGCCATGGACTTGCTAAACACTGCCGGACAAGCCACACTTGATTTCAACCTCACATCAGAAATATAGGAGTAACACTTTCTTGCCATATGGGAATATTGTAACAATTACAATATACAATAAGTGAAATGTTTTGAATATTCAAAAGTGCTATATAAATGCTGCATATTTATTAAAATTGGGTTTCTTCATTACTCTTATTAAACAAGGTTTTTAACTAGTCAGGGTAATCCAAGTGCCTTAAAATTGTCTAATTCAATTGCTCCATGAGATTATTTAACCTGGGATCAAAACAGCACAGTATTTATGTTAATCTTTTGGGGGGAAAGCTATTTACAGCAAGGTTAATTTCATCTGTCCCCCAATTAACATTGTGTGTTGTGATGCATGAATAAGGTGGCCTTATAAACATAGCAGTATAAGAAAAATAAAAGTTAATATAGGCAGTGTAGTAAACTTATATACATGTATGCATAGATTAGATTTCTTACAAATGCATGTATATTACATTAAAGATGGATATGAACGAGGCCAACACAAAACCATATAATAGAGGCTTTCTGGTGCACATGCAGCTTGTTCCTCAGTTTTTACTTCTATAAAAAGTGTACAAGTTTATCACTTGGTAAAAGAATAAACTGTCATAGAGCTAGGCACCTCAGGATAATTTTTCTATCTTAAAACATAATGCAGTTCATATGTCCAACTACCCCTGACTTTATGTCAGAACTAGGCAATGTTTATTACAACATGATAAAGGACTGATCCAGATACCCTGTCTGATTTTTTTCAGTTTTCTTTTACCATATATCTTTCATTTTTTGAATGGACTTAGGTTAAATGAAAGCAGAATGTTTGTAGGCTGACACCTCCCCCCCCCCCGATTAATCATTAGTTGTCTCACACAATTCTTAAAAAGTATTATCAATTGTTCTTTTCAGATTTATCTGAAAAAAGTACAACTTAGTATATGGAGAATCACAAACCTGGTCTGCAAGGCAACCTATGGAGACGCTGTTAATAGTCTTTTTTGAACCAAGAAGAGGTTTTTTTTCTGTATTTGCTCAACAATGGACAGTTGAGTTAGGTTAATAATATTTTTATTATAGGAAACAAACTGGGTGCCTTTTATTTATTTTCAGTATTTTTATCTTCAGTTATGGACATACTGTGCTTTTCTCAACCATCAATTGTTCAGTTTTGTTTTTACTTTCAGTTGTCAATTTTTTAAAAAAAATTCTTTTCATTGGAGCAATTCTGAATTGAAATTAAAATATAACAGAGTGAAATGTTTGTTTTGAAACCCTGGCTAGCTTCAGTAAACAGATTATTTTTCTTTGTGCCAACATAGCTACATCTGTGACTCAAGTTACTATGCCTCAAATTCAGGCAACAGGAATATTAGTTTCAGGTGAATTTAATATTGATTACCTGAATTTATGTTAATGGACAAATTCCTGTTTATTTTTTACTCCACTTGGTACTCTGAGATGTATTTGAGATTATAACTCCCCAAATTCCAAAATAGCATAATTGAACATGTTTTCTGGGAATCCTTCTAGTATCAATACATCTGGAAAGTATGAGATTAGAGAAGGTTAGAATTTTTAGTTGCATTATCAAACTACAAATTCCAACTTTTGCTTCAAAAAGAAAGGGGTCTGTGTAGTATGCACTTCTACTTCAGCCCACATAATATTTATGTTGAAAATTAAGTTCTTACCATTAAAAAAAAGAAAAAGCCAAGCCCATTTGAAAAATAAAATAAAACCAGTGTTTATTGAAAAGCGGGGAAAGTCAGTGTTAAGAGAATCGTAAGGAAAATTGTCAGTGGGGTTTGGAAAACAGTGCACATGCTCATAATGTGTTTTGGAATAAAGATTTCACAACTTTAAAAATAGAACAACTTTGAAGACTTATGAAAATGGCTTGGGAGAGACAAGTTACCTTTTTTGGCTCTGCTAAAACAAATGTATCGTGTACCGGTATTTATTGAAAAAAGAAAAAGAAATAAAAACTTACAAAACTTGCTTGCCAGAGATGAAAGTGGAATGAGCATCAGAATGCTTCTTCCATGAGACCAATGCTTCAAGTTGAGGGCATTTTTCCCAAGTTCTGGCTCACTGCACATTCTTGCAGAAAGATGCATGCATCATAACCTGCCTCAGCTTCGTGCAGTGCAGAACACTGATATATCAATAGTGAAACAAAATCCATTTGCCAACTTAGTTGCTTTTGTAAGTGGGCAGGGATTTTGTTCCTTCCCTTTTTTTCACACACACACACAAAACACAACATTTTTTAAAATAAGTAAATACTGGAGAAGTCTGAACCCTGCATCCTTCTTGGGAAAGTTTAAGAAGAGGAAGCTACTCAACATACTCCTAATAAGCAGGAAGGTTTGTGCACATTTTAATTAGCAGTCCTTCCAATCCATGCAATTTTAAAGATCACATTCCTAAAATTGAAGTTTTCAATATATGCTCCTCACAGTTCTCTGATTAAAACATCCCAACCTGAAACACATTTCTTCTGGGGAGATAATATCAGGATGGAGGAGGCATGACTAGAATATTGTCTGATCAAGATACAGAACCCATAGCATTGAGATTCAGGCCTTTATATTATTTATAATTCTAAATAATAATTACAATTGCTGGTGAAAACTGGCACCCAACCCACGTTTCAGTGTCAGAGCTTGAGTATAGAATTTATGGAAAGATTATGAGAAAGAGCTGAACTTTTATTCCTATAGAAGCACCACTTAGAATAGTCAATTGAATGAAGAAATACTCTTAGGGTATCCAGTCCAGTGCTCTGACACAAATGGCAAATTTATCCAGGCATAAAAGCTCATGGGAGCCTAAACACCTTTATATATAAAGAGATAGAAACGAGCACAGGAAATCCCGGAGTTGTTCATTTGATTTATATTCCGTGTTCTGCCGGAGGGTGCCTACAGAAGGTCAGGTTTTAAGTCGTAATAGACATCTTTCGAGAGGGAAGCCTAATAGGAGAGGAAATCTCATAATCTTTGAAGAATAAACAGAATGAGCGGTGGATACTTGTTGAGAGAAGAACAAATGACCAGGGGTGAGGGGAATGCAATGGGAGGATCAAGGAAAAAGACAATATGAGAATTTTTAAACACATCGCAGAATTTTTTTAAAAAAACAATATTCTTCTAAAAGAAAACTTGTTTTGCAAGTACCACTTGGGTGACCCAAAATTCTGACACAGAAAAGGGGGGAAAGCTTTCACCTTGCTGTCTCCTTCTTAATTTCTTACACCTCCATTACTTTCTTTTCCCCTTAAATCACATCCTAACTAAGCAAAGCATCACTGAGTTTTTGAAAAGTAGAACATTAGGGAAAAGTCTGTTGGAGAGTATGAATATTAGGCATATCTGTATCTACAGTAGTAATTCTTTTTTTTAAGTGGCATTCTATTAAGATATTTTTTATAAACCATAGGATGAAAATGGCATTATACCTGGGCCCACATTTTATGAAGGAAATTCTGAACTATAGATAATTTTCTGCCCTCAGAAAATTGGGTAGACTTTCTCCCTCCTCAGCCTCTGGAACAATTTGTAATTTCTCTCACTGAAGAATCCACCTAAATGTTCACTCAAAAGTTATCAATTAAGCCCACTAGATTTGAGCTTGCCTTCTGAGGTAGCTGAGTCTTAAGTTACTGCAGCCTTTCCTCAAAAGACTTGTTTTTGATATTCTATGCCCATCTCTGAATTCATTTCAAAATCTCTATATTAAGGATGGTCAGATTTCATTGTTGTGAAATCTCCTTTTTTACTAGAGTCCTAAAACCAATTTGTTCTAGTAGTTAAAGCATCAGTCTAGAAACCAGGAGATTATGAATATTAGTCCTGCTGTAGGCCTAAAAAGCCATGCCTAAAAAACTAGGTTGCTGTGGGAAGAATAGGAAAAGGAGGAATATTAGATATGTTCATCACCTTGAGCTATTTATAAAATGAAGGTGGGATTAAAAAGAAATCTAAAAAGATTATTAGATGGAGATGAATGCTAAACCCAGTTACTTTGACCACCAGAACCTAATTGCCTATTGGTTCTTTCACAATACATGTTCTCACAACCTGATTGTTAGCAGTAGTAAGAGAAGAAAAAGTGACTTGCCATTGCAAACAACTGAGAGTCATAAATTCTGACCTGTCTACTTCAAATCACCCAGAAACCTATCGATAAGTCCTATTCCATCTTTTACTCACCCTTCTTTTATATACTCTATAGTTCAAAATTATACATGTAACTAGATGCAGCTTTCTGAATGAAGAACAAAGTGCCACGTTGACATTGCAGGATTTGGAAACTTTCATTCTGTAAATCAAATTTGATTAAATTTTGCTCCAGCAGTATTTTCCTACTCATTCAAGATATAATTCCGAGTTTATTGAGCATTTATTGTATAATATATAAATAGAATATGACACTTTTCATGCTAAACTGTTGCCCATATGTTGCTTCTCTTTTTGGTGATACCTTGTTATAGTTATTTATTACATTTATATCCTGCCATAATCTCACAATTCTCAGTGACTTTTTGTTTCAAGGTGAAATGCTCAACTGTTATGTATCTTATGTCCAGTATATATGCCTACAAACATATATATAAATATTAAAGCACCATGCAGTATTTCGGTAACTACAACTGATAAAGGAAACCTGAAAATCATTATTGTAGGGTATTACATAGTTAACATGACAAACGCTTGCTTGGGATTTAAAAGAGAAGGGGAGGTTTTTGCAGATTAAATGAATGTAGCAGGCCCAGGATAGCTCCAGCAGTGCATAAATAGCAGAGAAGCTCAGGTAATTATCCTGTCTTTATTCTTATCTGCAAATTTGGAGGATAAGCAGCTGGTGAAGCTTTTTCTATGCTGATTTTTCATAATAGAGTCTAAGAAACATCTTTCAGATCAACATAGTAACCATTTTATGTGATCATGCAGTGTTGATTTTTTTAAAAAAATACTGTGAAATATAGTCTGGTTGCTAACAGCTCCAGAAGAAAATGCAGCAAACGTCTGAGACCTGTTAAGACTATGCTGCAATTCAGTACAACTTTATAGTTTTGGACAATTGCTGTTTGAGTTTCTTCCTTGGCAGCTATGTTATCAGTCATACTATTTGATATTGCTCCTTTTTCCTAAACAGCATCACCAAGAGGCAACCTGTTATCAAATAATATTTTGTCTCTCATATCTTCCAGATGAGCTAACCACCTTCACAACAGCAATTATGTTACCATTTTGTTGATTCATTTACTTCACTGTCTTGTCATTTTTTAATTTTTTTTCTACAATGTCAGCTTGTTCACAGGGAAAATTATTAAGCTGCAAATTATGTAATACCCACATATACACACTGACAGGCATCATGCTACCATTCTCTACCCAGGTGTCTTCTAAACGAATTAAAAGACAGGTTATCATGTATATGATTCACCTTTTGTAGAATGTCCAGGCCCAACATAACAAATGGGAAATTCTAGAAAATTCAGACCCAACGTATCTGAAAAGTGCCTAGACTGGGCAGGCTGCCCTCACCAAATGAAAAACAAATGTGTACAGAAAGAGGTTGGTCACTATTTATTTCCTACTGCTCATCTTGTCTGCACTTAAATTGCTTGAGTCTGCACCTTTTGAAGAAGAACAACTTTATCTATGCTACTAGCGCTGCAGATAAAAGCCTTGATTCTGAGATGTATTTGCTGTAGTTTTATGTTGTTTTTGGAGACGTCCCTACCCTAGGGTGTTTAATTTACTATTATCTAGTTTGCAAAGCCATTCACTACATTAAAAACAGCATGGTTCATTAAAACCCATAAACTTAATGGATTCAAACATAGATCAACAGCAGGGGGAAGAGTTTCCACTGAATCAAGCTCAGTTCCTAGTAACTTCATGAAGATGTCCTTGCTGTTTTCTATGAAACATACAGAAATGGTTCTCTGGTGCCAGTTTCCAGGATTCTTTTCAGCTTTGGAAGTCTCCCAAATCTCCCAATCAGGCCTGATGTGAGCAAGGTAAAAATAATTTTATGTTTCCTCCTTGGTCTATAGAAAGAGGCAAATGTTGAGTGCAACAAGATATGAGGAGGAATCTCCTTCCGAAAAATTGGGGTGACTCCTCAGAAATTAATCACATATCCACCAAAAGAGAAATTCTTGGTAAAAATGTGCCAATATCTGAGCATAAAACACATTACTCGTTTGAGGGGCTGTATTTCCAAAAATATTTGAAAATTTAGGCCTTTTCCATTTAAAATGAGGTCTTACACTGTATATAAAAACATACAGATATCCAGTAAAATTGTTGACAAAATCTCTACTGACTAATCAAAATGCAAGCAGCAGCTTTTGCACCTACTACATTTTCAAACAGTCTTCAATGGCACTCCCCATGGAGTGCCTCACAAGGGTCTTCTGAGAAATTCACTCATGTTTATTTTGACTCCAAACAACAATAGAATCCCAGGCTGAAATGTGTGGTTTTTTAAAAAATTCAGAGTCACAAAAAGTTTCCAGAAAGCAGAAGGGAGGGTTAGGGAGGCACAATATTCAAAATATATCAGGAATTCATATCTCAGTTTTAGATGGGTAAGAGGCAAAGGTTTCATTATTTTGAATAAAAAGAAAACAAAGAACCTTAGGGAATTACACCTTTGCTAGTTTAAGGTGCTGTATACTCTCTTATAGAACTGCATTTCCCAGATATGCCTTGAAAATGATATTTTATGTTGAAATCAGTTTAATGCTGGATCTCTTGTACAATTGTCCCTTAAAAATGGGACAAAACTTTTATTTTTAAATTTGGAAACTGAATTCCCAAGTGGTGGTGGGAATACATTCCAAAACTAGAAATAGTAAAGCATAAAATATGTAGAGATCAGATATTTTTCCTGATTTTTCTCTTTCAAGAAGCAAGCTATCTGAAAGGAAAAGATAGCTCTTATCAGAGGTGTGAACTTTTGAAATTATTCAAGTTCCTGGG